CTGGGGGGCGTGGCATGGGGCGAAACCCGTAATGGCAGCAAAAGAGCTTGGCATATTGGATTAGTCTGGTTGTCAATCGCTGGCATACATAAATCTGTTTTGCGGATTGTACAAAAAGCGTAACGGAAAGCCAAGGCAACGAGGGAGACAGAGATAGATAGAGAGAGAGAGAGAGAGAGAGAGAGAGAGAGAGAGGGGAAAGCAACAGAAAAAAAGCAAATCAAAAGCCATAATTCAATATTAAATCACTCATACGCCAGGTTAAACCAATTGCAGTAGCATCTGAAATGGATTTTTTGGCCAACAATTAGTCCAGTTGGAAGTTATGCACGTGTGTGTGTGTGTGTAGAGCTTTTAGCCAAATGAAAACCTCAAATGCCTTGCGCTTGGCCAATGGCAAAAGTCTTCCCTTGGCCAAAATCAAACAAAATATTTCAAAATAACAAATGTGTCCTTTGCTTCACACACACACACACACACACACACACACACACATACACACACTGACATGCTCTCGGACGGGGCAACAGAGCTTCTCAGATGACAAAGTGCTTGCAAACGCACAATATTTGTCTAGGTCATGGATATCAGTAACAACTTCCATTCCGCTCTCCCAGTCATTCCTTTCCGTCAGTTAAATGCAAACACACCTTTACACACACACACTGACACGCACACACATATACAAGGCATATTAATCAGTCTGTGAGAGGTGTAAAATTAGTGGTAGTGGGGGACGGGGGCAAGGGATTGTTTCAATTTTAGCTTTGGATTTTGGTTTACAAAACAAATAAATTGCAATTTGTGTAATTCTAACACCTTGAGGCGAAAACAAGACCAATCTAATGCGGCACAGTCGACTACTGTATGCTCTACAATTCAACTGGCTATTGTAAGGAAATAAAATTTTCTTCAAAATTTGTGCTTAAAATTTAAATAAATTTATTTCAATTCAAGTAATTAAATTAAAATGAATTACATTAAATTAAATTATTTCATTAAATTAATCAAATTTCTTTACAACTCATTACACACACATTTACTATACGCCTAGTCAAGTATATACTTTGCTTCTCATACTTACTTAGAGCATTAAATCAATGTAAGCCAAGTTGTCGCCTCTCGCTCTCGTTCTCTATCTCGCTCGCACTCTCACTGCGTCTTTATTTGTTTGTTTGTGTGTGCAGTGCGTCAGGTGTGTGTGAAAATATTTACAATTAAACACAATAGATCTTTGCAAATACTGTATATGTGAGTGTATGTATGTGTGTGTGTGTGTATATATGGCTAAATTTGCAATTGCTGCAAAGGTTTCATCCTTGAGGCAACCCGAGGCACGCTGCCCGTCACCCGTCACCCGTTGCCCGACGCTGCGTATTTGCCTACATTTTAGCCGAGTACGCTGCTGCATTGTTCGAGCTCGTGCATTGTGCATTGTGCATGTGTGGATTGGAAATTGAGGCAAGTCACAAGATATTTGATTTTAATTACATCAAATTTATTTGCTTAGTGATTTTTGTGCAAAGCTCAAAGGCCAAAATAGTTCAATTTGCCCATGGCCAGCGGGAGAATATACTATTTATCTATTGTGAATGGTATCAAAAGTGTCTGTGTGCTGGCTTTAAGATAATACATAAAGATAATGCATATAGATAATACAAATGTTTGTCTAACAAACAACATTTTGTATTTTATGTTTTTATACACGTCGAATTTGTAAGGAAAAAATCAATTGTTTAAATAATTAGTTAAACGTGCGTTATATCACATTGCGCTCAGATTCAACAGATATTTGAGCTCGTTGAGTTGAGATTTCCTTCTCAAAAATAGCACGAACCCAAAACAAACAAAAAATTCCACACTCTTATTATCTAGCTGCTCGCACATTCTTTAAGCGCTCTCAAAATAATGAGCACAACTCAGCCAACGGGATCAAGCAACAGATATATACATGTGTTTGTTGTTCGACTCGCTCACAACAGCTGCAACTGGCTGTCCACTCTCTGCCTCTATCTCTCTCTCACTTTCTTTCTTTGCGATTGGAAATTGAGCGCTTTTTATATTATTTGTTTCTTTTGGCATTCTTTTCTGTATATAGAAGAGCACAAACTAATTTCTTGCAACAAACTCATGCTCACTAGTAAACAGAGATAATTTCCTTAATCGTCTGCTCTGTTCGCTCTCATGCACATTAAAATTCTCTCTCACATTAGAATGCATGTTTCGTTTGCGTGCTCTCTTTTCAATAACTGTTGCTCAATTTCCTTTTTAGGACTTTTTCTGTTGTCCTTCGATCATTGAGCGTAAAGATATGCGACTCTACATACATACATATGCGCGTGTGTGTGTGCCTGTGCAGCTTGCACTCAATCAAGACATCTCTGAAATTAGTACTCGAGTGCACTGGATGGGAAATTTACAAGTCCAGGTATTTAACTAATTCTTTACTAAATTTTCAAGTAATTTAAGTTATTTGCTCAAGCCGCAGCGCAACTATGTCTTCGCTTTATTATCTAACATAAAAGCCGTTGGCCAATCGAAAGTGGAGGTGAATCAATTATGCGGCTCAGATAACCTCAGGTATTGGGTCAAATGTGCCATGCAAACGTCATTTGACCTCACTGCTTTTGTTTTCGTTGTAGTTGAATGGAATTGAATAATATTTTAAGCTTTTGACCTGGGGCCTAATTCAAATTGGCGAAGACTTAAGCCACACTTTATCTGCATATTCAACAATATTTACTTAAAATTTCATCAATTGAAATCACTTTGAGTTTAGCTCACATAATATTATTGACCACATAGACCGCAATTACAGGCCATTCAGACTGTTTTTTTTTGTTTTTGTTTTTTTTTTATAGCTTAAGCAACCGTCAACAGGACCCCTGCCACATCGATGTCCTTGTGGCCAGGCCATCTTCTGTGTGAAGTCCGTAAATGCTGGCCTAGCATTAGGCCAGAATACCCTGGGGCTAACCTTAGTGCTTAGCTGCAAAGCATTCATGATGAATGCAACTAGCGGAGAGGTAGCGAAGACCAAGAAAGAGAGAGAGAGAGAGCGAAGGCGAGGGAAGTTTGACTACCTCAGCTCAACACTATGAGCACATTTTAAAGGCTCTTAGTTTCTATGTTCTTCGTTTTTGGTCTGTGGCTTAAAAGCTTTAAGAGAATTTATAGCTGCGGCCAAAAAACACTTAAAGAGATTTTTTTTTCTCTTTGGCAAGCTTCTTTTTTTCTTTTCTATTTTTTTTGTAGAAATTATACGGCTGGGTGTTAAGTGAAAGGAACTAAAATAATAACAAGGCGAAGACACGGTTGAAGCGAACAAGTTTATGTTGATGAACTATGAGATGAGCTGTAAATATATTTTAAAATATATTTTTGTACATAAAAAAAAATTTTTTAAATTATTTACAATACTTTGTAGATTTTAATAGATAATTATAAATTCTTGTATAGCTATCTGAGATTGGCATAACATATTGAAAGTTTTCTCTTTAAAAATATATAAAGGTTTTTTTCTTTTTTATTATAATGATATATTCAAATAATAATTAAAATATTATTAGAAGTAATCATTGAAATTGAAAAAAAAAACAAACAAACAAACAAAATTTAAAATATAATGAATACTTTATATATTTAACACTTCAGTTTAGTCTGATTACTTTTTACAGGGCATTTGGTGGAACAGCAGCCATGTTTTATAGCCGTTGAGCAACAGTCAGCGCCATTAGCAAAGCATATGTATGTATATGAGTTTGTGTCGAGTATGTGTGGTGCGTGTGGATACTTAAAAAAAAATGCATGTAAGAATGTTTTACTCGAGCATGCCCGACTGCAGAATACTCATTCCGAACCCAAACTCTATACTTAAGTTTCTAGTCTGCGACTGTACAGCGTACAAATCTTGACACCTAATAAATCGAATATGTGTTCCAAATTGCCAGAGCTGCACAGAGCCAATATACTCATTTCACTTTCGTAAATGCGTGTAAAAAGAAAGAATTTGATGGTGAAATATTCCGACTGTGGAATTGTCTACGGAACTGTGGAGCTCGACAATAATAACTTAGCTGGCTGGGCAGGCAGAAAGTTCTTATTGCAGTTTTTGTTGTTGTTATTGGAGCTGTTGCCGTTAGATTCGGCCAGTTGTTAGCAAGCTTTCAATATTTTCACACTTTTGTTTTAGTTGTAAGCTGTTGCTCTAATGGTTTTCCTCGCCCGTTTTCCAAGCGAGTTTTCTTTGCCACAGTCATTGCAATGCACAAAAATGCAATACAATATGCGTCTGTGTGTGTGTGTGTGTGTGTGTGTGTGTGTGTGTGTGTGTGTGTGTGTGTGTGTGTGTGTGTGTGTGTGTGTGTGTGTGTGTGTGTGATTGTGTTAGTGTGCTGAAAGTAAATTGCCTTCGGGTGTGCGTAGGGAAAAAATATATATATATATAATATAAAGGGCAATTGCAGTTACATCGAAGGCGTTGGCCAGGACAAAAACAAGGACAAAGCGCCTGCTGCTGCTGCTTCTACTTTTGCTCTGGGCACAGAATATTTCTTGTCCTTTGGGCTGCCTGCCTGCCTGCAAAATATATGTATAAATTGTCCTGTGGTTGTTGTTTTGCCCCGGAATTTATGTGGCCCAGCATCAGCAGCAGCAGCAGCATCAGGCGAAGGGATTTTGTTCGCCCAGCATTGGGTCACATATTGTTTTAAATGCAATCGTTTTAAGTTTTCATTTTTAGTTTAGCAACAAAAGTTCTTCAGGCAGAACGAGTGCGCTTGTGTGTGTGTGTGTGTGTGTTGGCCAAAGGTGTTAACAGCTTAGATTTTATTTACGCAATTTATCAAAATAATTACACTTGTTTAAAAATGCATGCGTTGCTATTAAAAAAAATTAGCTTAAATATTAAATGATATAAAAAACAAACCATTTAAAAATAAAAAAAAAACAGCTTAAGCTGACGACCGCGAAATAATTTAGTAGGCGTTTATAAAACCAAGCAAACTGTTTCCAAACACATAGAACACGAATAGGATTCGTAGAGTTTTGATTCATTTTGTATACAATTATTTCTTATAATTAGTTTTCCTCTTCTAGTTTACATCAAAAATGGAAAAATTGCCAATCGTGATTATTTATTTCGCATACTCATTTCTTTTTTTATCTCGATGTAAGCAGCCATACAGGAGGCATAAGACACAGTATATATATGTTTAGATCTGTTTCAAATGACTCAAAACTAAATCTTACAGCTGCCAATGCCCAGGGCCATAGATGTATTAAATGTCCCCATTTGGAATGCCATAAGAACGGCTCCTTTTTCGCTTCCTTTGACAATAGGGATCAAGTAAAGGTAGTACACCAAGAAGACGATGAACCTGATGATCCAGTGAGTGAATGCTTATCTCCGCGTGTAAAAGTAAATGGTAATATCGTAAATACTTTTCATTTTGCTTTTGTGCTTCTTATTATATTTTATTTTTTATTTTTATTTTAGGTACTCTGAACGATGTTGTATGCTCTGCCGAAAGAAACCTATGTTTCGTAGTTTGTGCCAAATCCAGAAAGGAAGATGACAAAGCATTGTGCGCTAAGTGCGCCGAACGCTGTGAATGCAAAGTACCTAATAATGGCAGAAAGGGGTATACAGCAAACGGCCTTCTATATATACTTATACCAGTATGTTTGGTAGCATTTTACATTTTGGTGTAGGCGATGCAAATGTACACATGTTTACGAAGGTAGATCGGGCAGGGTACATGGTATAGCCTGGTCGGGTATACCGAATAGAGCCCTAGTTTTTACACTCTGCTCTCAAAGGAAAGCAAGTAAAAAACTTTAATCGGGATGGCCGACTAGGAGATATCATGAACTTTGTCCGATCTGCGTTTTTAAACTGTTTATTTGGCTGTTTGTAGGTCTAAAAAAAAAAAAAAAAAAAAAAAAAATAGTACGAAACTAAATTGAATCCGTTTCACAATAAAACGAATTTAGTAAACAAAAAGTAATATTTATATGAAAATGTCCTCAAAGTAAAGAACAAGTTAGAAATAACTAGGCAAGACTGCTTCAATACCAACCCCTGAACCCATCAAGGAACTGAAATTCATAAAATATGCATAAGGTTCAATGATAACTGTATGTAAAATTTGGAAACTCTAGCTCCAACGATGTACGGTATATAATTTATAACGGACTTTTGATAAGGTTTCTAATCGATAACAAGGAACGGAAACAGTTATCGATTTTGCAAGCATACGAACAGACAGACGGACATGGACTTACCTCAATATATCAATAATATACAATATAAACAGTCTACAACATCCGACTGTAGTTATTGATTGTTTCTTCATTCATTTACAATGGCACAAAAAGCTAAACGAATTTTAATAACTTTTGAGCGATTTCCACACTTCAATGGCAAATATTTACACAAAACAAATGCAACAATGTAATTAGAATAATGTTTTATTATTTTTCTAATAATCGGCAAAATTGTGTTGTTGCATTTAAATTAAATTTCACGCGCTTTGATAAAAGCATTAAAATATTCATGGATAACAAAGTAAATACCAAGCTTTTATATATATATATATAAGTATATATATGTATATATATGTATTTATTATTTATTAATTATCATTATTATTTATTTTTATTTTTTTTTATTTATTTATTTATTTTTTTTGAAAATAAGAAAAAATTATAAAAGTGAACAATGCTAAATTTTTGGCATGCGAAAACATTTTAATTCGTATTGAATATTTGTTAAATAATCAGACTGAATAAAACGGGAATATAATGAATTTGGAAAGAATTTCTATATAAACTATGTCGGTGGAGAGTAGATGGTAGTAAATGGAATCCACATTCATGCTAGGAATTTGCTCTAATTAATGCCGCCGAGCATTTGGGCAAACAATTTAACATAACCAATTTCAATTTCAATTGCAATTGATTTATGTTAATTACTGTTAAACAAAATGCGCCTCGTTGATTACTAAATTGATTTTAAATGAAATGCAAATACCAAAAGTCCCAAACAAAAAACCAACACCAAAATAAGAGCGAAGTGTAAATCAGTAAACACGCCGGTTAATGGCAATCTATTTGACCCACTGATTGACGCCAGAAGGCAAATTGATAGTTAAATACTAAATAGCAGGTTAAGCGAGCAAACAAAGTGTGAAAAAATGGAGAGAGAGAGAGAGAGAGAGAGAGAGAGAGAGAGAGAAAAAATGAAGCTGTAAGCAGTGCGCACTGTGGGTGGCATCAATAAAGGCTAGTTCCATGACATGATCAATTAGAGTCGATTTAAAAAGGTCAAAGGTGAGTCGACTTAACAAATAAGCTTTTAATTTGTGCATTGGCTGGTATTATTGCTGTTATTATTATTAATACTATTAAAGTAAAATAAATAATATTAATCAGGCTGCCATTATGTAATACTATTGTCTTTTATTTTATTTTATTTTATTTTTTTTAATATATGTATTTTTATTATTTATAAAATTTTGTAGTATATATATTTTTTTATTTTAAGAATGACTCACTTTAATTTAATTTTTTATAAGTATTTATAGCCATCAACGTCATTGATACAATTTGCATTTTAGTTTTCAATTCATTATCATATTCATGATCAATATTATTCATAACGGTCGTATTGATATTGATAAGAATAATATATTAAATATATTTAATATATTTTAATGACTGCATTATACTTTTTAAATCAATATCAAATTCATGATCAATATCATTCATTCATATCATTTCGTTATTCTCATATTCTAGTCTTGAGAGAAGCCTGTTTCTCATAGTGGAAACACCACGCACAGCTCTACCAAGCATATATACAGTATATTCTAAGGCTACTCACACACACACACACACTCACGCATTTTCCTCTGCTGCTCTATTCTTCTCTTCTATCTACCGCTGCTTCAGTAGCTATTTAACAAAAATTTTGAGCGCTATTTCCACTGCCAGCTCGTCTAATTAGTTCCTCACATTTTCATTTCCTGCTCCATTCAATTTACACTTGCAGCAAATCATTTCTGTTCCCTATTTTCACTTTGATTATTTATCCTAGCTGATGGTCAAGTTTTCTACAAATAAAAAAAAAAAGAACAAAAGTTTTACTAAAATCAAAGTTTCAGCTCCTTCGAGAATTCCTTAGTCGATTTTCACACCCACTAACCGTTGATATTTGAATATCTCTTCCGTCTGTTGCAGTAGAATTCTCAGTGCACATTAAATTTAATGAGGCGCGCCCTAGGGATAAGCCGAGAGCTAGCAGCACTTAGAAAATTTAAAGAGCTTACGCTCTCTGGATGAGTCCGGCGAGCAGAGAGACGACAAGGGGAGCTTTCTTATGTGTGGCTTATCAATTTCGAGTTGTTGAGCAATTAAAGGCCTTTGAGTGAAGTGTAGCATGTGGGTGCGAGGGGCTGCTGCCAGGTAGGGGGCGGGGGGCGGGCTGCCTATTGAGCTGTAGTCGCTGTCTCAACTGTCAGGAGCAAGCATGGGTCGGGCTTATGGGGGCTATGTCCAGCTGTGCGCAGAGGCCTATCGATGTCCTCGAGCAGGCAACAACAACTACTTACAATTGACTTTGGCCAGCGATGCAGTCATGTGTGTTTATGTGTGTGTGTGTGTGTGTGTGTGTGTGTGTCTTGGGCGCATGCCAACACACAGAACATGTCATAAATCCAAAGGCAGCATATAATTAATAAGGATTAATTGTGTACCAGAACTTGCGACGATGCTGCCATAGACCGAAATTTAATTAATTAATAGCACAACTTTAGGCGACTGTGTCTGTGTGTGTGTGCGCCTATGTGTATGTGAAATGTTCATTTAAGGGCAGCAGACACCATTGTCGGCAATCGATAAGCTAGCTGCACTTCTGCTGCAAGCTTCATTTAAATCTTGGCATATTTTTCATGCATTATTTGAGTTGAAAATTAATTTAATATTAAGCAAAATATACATTAAAATTATAATTAAACATCTTTTAGTCATAAATAAATTACATTTCGCTTGACAGTTGCTTTCACTACAGATTTCGCTTAGAACAAAGCACGAAATTTTCCATAAATTGTTATTATTCAAATTAATGTAAATGTGCAAAGCGAGGTTTTATATATTCATTAAATTCGTAGAATTGCTAGAGTTAACTTGCATTAGAGTAAAATGCCAGCTTAAGCTTAAGAATGAAACACAGTGCGTATACTTAATATTAATATTTTGCGTTATTTTTAGCTTGGTTACCTAAATGATTATACAAGTGTAACCCTTGCCTAAAATTAAGCGAATATTCGTTAAAGCTAAAATCAAAGCAACCATTTGGTAACATGAAAATTCTTCCGCTCCAACTAATTCGCGTAATTCGCTCGAAGGCCTAAGAACTTTTTCATTAGCTTTACTTTGCCCTCAAGTTTCTTTCGCTTCTTTATTTTAATTTCTTTTTTTTAACAACCCCTTTTCACAGTTTCGCTTTGGTGCTTAACCTGCGCATTTATCCGACATTTCTGCTGCTGCTCTTTTAGCAGGTGCCAAAAAGGACAGCATTAAATTGGAAGATGGCAATTAATGCTAAGCTCCTGCTGGCGACTGCCACGGATATGCAGGGCAATTTCATTTAATTAGCAAATGAATTTCATTTTAAAGATTAACTGGCTAAATTTGTAACATTTAAACATATATCAAAGGAAAATACAGGTAAAATATCATCAACTAAAATTTAATCGCACTTATAATCTACATCTGCATATATGTCAGATAACTTATGTTATACTGGAATCAGTTTATATTAATAAAAATTACTGATTATTATTAATATTTTTATTTTATTAGTATGTTTTTTATTGAATGTTGAAGTAGAAAAAAACTATTGAATAACTCCCTGGAATCAGTATATTTTAATCAAAAATAACTGATTTATCGAGCATAGAGTAAACATTTTAATACTTATTAACGAAAGTGAAATGAGTATATTAGTTTCGACTGTCTGTCCGTTACTAGCTACTGGAATATAGGAATTGAGCACGCATTGTTTTTAAAGTTTAAATTAAATATGTTTGTAATTATATTTTTTATATATATTTTTAATTAAATAAAATTTTACATAATTTAAATAAATTTATTTTTTTTTTCCATTTATTTATTTTCTGCATTATTGACAGTATTTTTGGGTTCACATCTTAAGGTGAATACTAAATAACATATTCATTTTAATTCTTGAAAACTTTGTTTTAGCATAAAAAAAATAATTAATAATTTTTAGAAAAAATGGTTAGCAACAAAACATGCTACACTTAATTAATTGGTTTTATTAAGGCAAAAAAAAACTATAAAAACTATTGTAAAATTTTTAAGTTAAAAATGAATATTTTCACTTTTGAATAATGTTGAAAGAGAAATGCAGCGAATTGTTGCAATTTACAATCGATTTATTTTTGTTGCACCTGTGCGCAAAAGAAAAAAAAAAAAAAAAAAAACAATGAACATTATTTATGATATTTATTTTATAGACAGAGCTGATTAATTTTCCAAAGAACTTTTCATTTAAATATTTATTTATTTTTTTTTTTTTTTTTTTTTTTTTTTTATTGTGAAATTAAGTATAAAGAATTGAGTTTAAATGCGGGTCAACATTTTGCGGTATCAATTGATACATATGTATATATTGAATATATTGAAAGAATGGCAATTATTATCTGTATATATTTATTCACATATACAGTATACTCTAACAGGTTTTCGTCAATAGTTTTCACACATACACACCCACACAGATGGATATATTTATATGGAGAGCAATAAATTTTTAGGGCGAAAGCAATTTGGTATTTATCTGTGTGTTTTCATACTTTATGCTTGAATGATTTTTCATTTCCTGTTTCTTGGAGTTTTTATTATTGCACAGTATCAACAATAAGCAACAACAACAACAACAAGCAGTTATATTTCTATCTAAAGCTATCAACAACTACAGGACAT